CCCCAAAACCCCAAAACCCCAAAACCCCAAAACCCCAACAGTAGTTAATAATATCGAAGATAAATATTCATAAATATAAATGGCAGACCCTGACTTTGAAAACTTACTGGATTCAGAAGAAGAAGATTTTGTTGACTACTACGATATTGGTACGGTTCCCTCCCTCGTTTCAGAAGAGCCTCAGGCTCTTCTGCCTAGAGGCAGATAATTTTACCAAAGATATAGAAGAAGACCAACAAGTAGATGAGGAAGATGACCCACAGGTCATCCCTCCTGCTAGTTCCATGTTCGATGTAGATTTTGGCAAAAGTACAGGGTCTTTAGGCCCAGGCCTTTTTAGTGAGACACCAGGACTGGGCTTTGGAGCCATGCCTGCTTTCTCTAATAGTGATCCTTCAAACGGAGCTATGGGTGTAGCTGGTAAGTCAACCAAATAGAGTATCTGCTTTGGGACCTTTAAACTAAAAGTTATCAGATTAGGTTATATATGTACTCTATTCTTAGGAATATTAGTGATTGGTTTTAAGAAGAAAACTTGGCAAGCTTTTATTAGACTTGAAGCACTAAGAATATCCATCTGGACTCCTGTGTAATTCCAAATTATAGGAAATGGCTTTTAGAATACCCTGCTCATTTTAAAGCTTTATTTTTCTTATAATTTTAAATATTCTAGCACTTGAAACAGACTACATCGATCTTTCTGCAGTGAAATGTTGAGAAGTTAAGAGATTTGAGCCTAACAAATCTTCAGTTGTCATAAACAGCTGCTTATAAAGAGCAAATCATGAGAAAATAATTCAGAAAGTAAGGATGGATTTCAAAATTGTTATTTCAGATCCTATCTCAAGCTAAAATTAGCGAGGCCAAGAATTAACAAGAGAAAGGGATGGACTTTTCAACGTTTAGGGCAACCATCCCACACTTAATATCCCTCTAACGGAAGGATTTCAGGGGTTCAACACTAGGTTGATATGCAAAATTTCCCATAATTTACTAATACTTAAGATTTCTCTTTACTGAACTTCCAATGTACCAATTCCTGGATTCCTTCTACTGGCAATTGAGCAAGCTGGACCAGTTCTAAACTCTTTAATAGAAAGAAACGTAACATTTGGAGAGACAACCACGCATTATTTTGATAAATATGAGGAAGAATATAGTGAGTAAGCCCCACCCTGACTCCTAGGGACCTCAAGAAATACATCTATGGTGTAGAGCCTCCTCCTGAAGATGACGAAGGAGAAGAGGATTACTTCAGCTCTGAGCAGCTCTCCAATCCCTTCGATAATACTCTTAACAGTGATCTCGTAGATAAGCCAAAACATGCCTTTAAGACTTGTTCTGACATCGAGCGGGAAAAGGCTGAAGAAAAGATAGTCAAGAACGGATTGGACCAAAGCCAGGAGGACGGTACAGAACGGTCTTCATTTGTTGACCATATCATTGGCCAAGAAGATGATACTGCACTACTCACTCCTACATCTATCAAGAAGAGTATTAATATAAAATTTCCTCAAGAGTAAGACATAATATTGACTGCTAGACTTTCCATCAACGAGAATGAGATCCCCACTGACGAATCACCTTTCGGTGATGAGAGTGAAGAGACCAAGGAATCTGACATGAAGCTCAAAGAGAAGTTAACAGATCTTTGCAAACTTGTAGCATCTTTTTGGTAACTTCTAGAACGTCTCCTTGGCTGATAGCCACTACAAGATATTCGATATGATCCAGTCCTTGGGCAGCGCTATTGAGAATGGAAATCTGCAGGATATCCAGACCTCTTTCAGCCAGCTAAAGAGCCAAGCAACAGAAAACCTCAAAATTGCTGATAAAGTAAACTGGCAGTAATTTATAGATGGAAAAGGCTAAATATTTAAAAACTGAAGAACCTATTGAAGCAGTGCAAGATTTTGACGACCTCCTCTTCGATGACCAAGAAGTTGAGAGAGAGGTAAGAGAGTCCTTTGGGTATACCAAGGCGATTGCACAGCAGTTGTATACACTTCCGAATGCCTCTTGAGACTTCCCATCCTCCTTAGCCACACTTCAAGATCATATTTCTAAAAATAAGATTGATATCCAACAGGCTTTGAGTCATATAGCCAGTAAGAGCACTGGGACGATAAACACGATAATCTTTACAAGACTCAACAGAAGCATTGAGAGCCCTCTTACCTCAATTGAGCAGATCCAGCTGTTCAATTCTATCAGGAAAAAGTGAAACATGAGGGTGGAGAAGAGCCAGCTGGTGGACATACTATGAAGCTAGCTGGTTCCTTCTTAGAATTAACCCAGGTTTGTTCCTTCAGGTCTAGGTTCAATCTTACTGACTTATATTGGGGTTTTGGGGTTTTGGGGTTTTGGGG